TTTTTTTTTTTTTTTTTTTTTTTTTTTTTTTTTTTTTCAATTTTAGCTATCGCTTTCGTGGGCTTTTTCGCTAAATTCAACTGTAGTATTTGCTGTCGGCTTTTTGGCTAAGTTCTTTAGTCCATGTCCGCGGAGGCGCCATAGCTGCATAATTTGCCCTGTGCTCCCTAAGTAATTTTTTTTTTTCCTTTTATTTCTTGGGCTTGCTGCCTTGATTGTCGCTTCTTGCGGCCGTGAAGAGGACGAATTTTTAACACAAAGTTACCCTTCCCAACAAGTGTCATATTATTATTATTTTATTATAATTATTATCATCATTACCTTTTTTTTTTTTTTTTTTTGAATCATCTAAATTTCTTGTTATCATTATTGTATTTTACTATTATTATTCTTATTCCTATTATTAATTTTCTCTTCCCGTCGGTCACGAACCGTTGCCGCACTTTTGAACCTGTCTGTATTTGGCCATTGTCTGACTAACTCTATGTCTTAATGAATCTGCCCGGCAAGGCGGGCAGATAACATCCATGAGAGTCTTCGTATGAATCCGCTTCTACTTGTTGTCCAGAGCGCCATGGGCAACGACTTTTGTGAGCAGGTAGGCGATTCTCCCTTTTCGCTCGGAGCCGCAAAGTGCCCGCCATAAGTTACCTGCCACGTCTCCCGCCAAAATTCACCAATTTATTCGCCACGCGTCTCCCGCCAGAATTCACCAATTTATGCGCCACGCGTCTCCCGCCGAAATTTACCCGCTGCATATCTTGCGCAACCGCAGACGAAAAGGAAAGTTATTTGTGCGAGCTTGTAGAAGTTTGTGTATAGTTTGGAATCGGATCTGATCAGATCAGTCAGTAGGACTTCTTCGCCTGGCCGTAATTGAGGTTAGATACGTCCATCTCTGGCTGTAATTGCGGTCAGATACATCCCGAGAAGTCCAACTTTGAGTATGTCCTGAGCTTTGTCGATTTGAGTCGATTTGATTAAGATCTCACTTTCCGTCATCAGATCGGATCACTGGGGGCAGCACCGATCTGGCCGAAATCGGATTTTGTGTTTCCTCTTTTTCTAAGTTTTTTTTTTTTTTTTTTTCTCTCAAGCTACAGTCTTCCACAGTCTTCGACAGTCTTCCAGTCTTCTTCCAGTCTAAACTGAACATGCGTGGAAGAATAGGAAAAACTGATTCGAGTTAAAAAAAAAAAAAAAAAAAAAACACAAAACAAAAATAACAAAAAGAAAAGGAGAAAGAAAGAAAAGAAAGAGAGATTGGGATTTATTCAGGAGGCGAAGTCGATACCCTCTCTTCCTCTTATCGATCTGCCAAACGACCGGTTTTCCGACACATTGAACGACCGGTCGAAGGGAAGCCGACCGACACTCTCCCCGCCAGTCGCGAGACTAATATTATAGATATAAGGAGATAAGTTTAGTCAATATCACGTCGCGAAGTGAACACCTAAAACGGAAACAAACCAAAAGAAGAAAGTCAGAGCGAGCAACTTGCAGAATAGTCTAGTTTAGGAAAGTAAGAGGCAGGTTCTTGAGGTTTATCCCCGCCATCTTGCCATCTACCCTTCGTCGCCCTCCTTTTCCCATTTTACCTGTGCGCGTTTGCAGCTCTTCCCGCCTCTTCCCGCTGCGTTTGTAGATCTCTCTACTCTCAGCAACTTCTTCTTCTTTTTCCGAGCAATTTAATTTATTAATTTACTAAGATATTAATTTACTAACATATTAATTTACTAACAAATTAATTTACAAACATATTAATTTGCAAACATATTAATTTACAAACATATTAATTTACAAACATATTAATTTACTATCATATTAATTTTCAAACATATTAATTTATTAAGGCCGTCGTTTGACTATATATCTCCCAGCCATCTTGCGCCCCCTTTCCGCCGTCGCTCTCCTTTTGCCGTTTTAACCCATCCGCTTTTCTACCTCTCGGCGCTCTCGCCTCTTGCCGCTGCGATAGTATTGTAAGCGACTGTAGATCTCGCTTCTCTCAGCAACTTATAAGTTTAGTTTACTAAAAATATATACTTAATTTTATATTTTATTAGTAATAATATACTAATTTGTTAAGGCCGTCGTTTGACTAGGGTTTTTTTTTTTTTTTTTTTTTTTTTGGTTAGCACGCATACGGATGAAATTGTGAAAGTATTTATATGTGCACGATTGAGCCTGCTGATGAGTGAACGCAACTCTGACGAAACAAGTCTCTGTCACAGCGCCCCCCGCCCCGGTTTCATTCCTTTTTTCCCTTTCTATTTTTTTTGTCGGGCAGTTCACAAAATCTTTTTTCTCTTTGTACTTCATTTGACCTGTCTTTTTTGCCCAACCGCCGCCGGATTTCTCTTTTTCTTGCAATAATTTTTTTTTATTTTTTTTTTTGCATTTCTCTCTCGACATCTATTTTTGCTTTTCTCTCTGGAATCTCATCTTGACCGTTCGTTTAGCTGTAGTTTTTGTCCGACTGTCAATTCCTCCCCCCTGGTGAGTATGGAAGGCGGCGACGAGTACTTGGTCCCGCCGGACGTTAGCGTGAAGCGTCGCATCAGGAGGTTCGTCTCTCTCGAGACGCAGGAGAGCGTTCTCAGTTGGCTGGTAATTGCAACTTTCGGAATTACCCTCGCTTCGACAGGGGTAGCTCTGGGCCCCCAACTCCTTCAAATGTCCATGGCCATTTTCCTCGCCGAGGCGATGCTCAAGGTCACGCAGAACTGCATTCGCAATCATTACATGAAAGATGAGCCGTGCTCATTGATGATGGCGGCGCTAGTGGAGGGCCGAGCTCATCAGAATTACCTGCGATCTCTAGGAGCTCTGCGATTAGCGGGCGTAGTCTTGCAGCTCACCCTCTCTATACTCTTAGCCGTCCGATTTCGTCGTAACGGTAAAGACGATCTGTTGCTGTTTAGCACAGTCGCGCAGGCGGTTCGTTTCTGTTGCGTTGTGAGTTTCCTAAAAGTCGCGTTTTCGTCGTTCGTGTTCCTCTACTCGCCTTTCTCCACTTACCTGATTAGGAGAAAAGCGGCGCTGCGAGGGCAAAATGAGCAGGGGAATGCCGAGAGGAGAGTTCTCGCCCTGGGCGAAGAGCTGGCGGCGCTCGTCTGGTTCTTCCACTGCCAGCGCCATCCGAGCTTGCCCCCTGTTTGCGCGTTTAGGCGGGAAGAATACGGCTGCGGTTTGCCTGGCCATTGGTTCCTAGGGAGACAAGAACTGATCTCAATCGCTCTGTCGAGGGGTATCCATGGCGGCGGGACCGTCTCCTTGAAGCAGGAGATGGCCCTTGATGCCCTTGGCCGACTCGTTGAGCGCGGAGCGCGGGACACGTGGGACGCTGTTGTCGATAGGGAGAGGAGAGGGTTCGATAGGTTGGTGAATATCGTGTCTGATCATTCATCTGTGCGTTGCAGAGAGAAAGCCGTCATCGTTATCTGGCAGCTGGCGGACATCGGTCGAAAGGCGGAGGAGGATGGCTATGACCCCCTGAAGAGTTACTCGACGCCGAGAATGGTCCAGGCGGGGGCCGCCTTGTTGAATGCGGCGCTGAGCGGATCGTCTCCGCTTCTTCAGGAAAAGGCGATGGGTGCGTTATGGCGGCTGTCTCGAGAGCACGGGAGCATACTCGAGTGCCTCTTCGGAGGAGCGGAGGGACGCGACGAGATCGAGAAGGTGGTGGGACTGGCAAGAAAAGCGCCCACCCCCAAGTGCTGCCTGGAGTCCATGTATTTGCTCAGCCGGCTCATGGCCAACCTCGCCGCGCCTTACGCTCATTACACTGAAATCGCGACCGCCGGAGATATCGAGGAAGTGCGCGACGGGAGGCTAACGAGGGCGAGGCGTTGCCGCGAGCCGGCGACGGACATGGAGGGCTACAAAGGCCTTCAGCGGTTCTGGGTCCCGACTTCCCGCGGCTGTTTCCGCGAGTCCACAGCTCTGCCGCAAATCATTACCTTCGCTTTGTCCCCCGACAGCTCGACTGATGCCAAAGAGTTGGTCGCTGTCATCATCCAGTGTTATTTCGTCCTGGGACCGGAGAATCTTTTCGTGTACGAGATTAGGTCGCTCGTTCGGATTCTGAGAGTGCGGTACTATTCCACCGCCGTGGAACTGCTGTACGCCGCCATGCTGACCTGCGACTTGCTCTTGCATTACTTCACGGATCCCGGGACCACCAACAGTCCGGATCTCCTGCCGCAAATCATCGAGCACGACGACAGCATGCTGTTCGTCTACCTCCTGCGTCTGCAGTCGGAGCACTGGATGGGACCCCAATTCGCTGTGCAGGACGCCATGAAGATCATCCCCGAGTCCGGTTTCTGGCGACAATTCATTAGTCCTTTGAGAGAGGGCCGACGCCCCACGGTGCGCCATCTCCTCCGATCTCCCGCGCGATTGATGGCTTATCTTCTCAGCACTCAGTTTGATCTTCTGACGGTCGAGATCGAAGAGGTCTTTCTCGACGACACGGTCACCCGCCGCTCGACGGAGATCAACGATTCTATCGCCGACGAGGGGTATCTGGCGGGCATGACCATCTGCTGTTTCGGATTGGCGCTGCTTTTCCACGAGGAGGAAACGAGGACGACGAAGCTGAATGCCTGTGTGGCGCTCACCAGGCTGGCCAAGTACGACGGGCGCAAGCTGCGCCCTTACGTCGCCGAGGCTTGCAAGTACCTACAGAAGGACCGTATGCTTGACCTTCGGGAGATCCAAGGGACAACGGAGGTCGCCGAGCTCAAACATGAGCTTAGCGATTGCGTCCCCGGGCTCGACAAAACCATGTCTGGCAGCTTTCAACGGTCTGAACGACCCATTTTTCAGAACGCAAAGGTCAATATGGCTTGGGAGAATTTGAACGACGCTCAAAAGGCCATTTTCTCCATAATTGCGCACGCAGCGGATAGTCAAAGGTAGACTTCTTTTTATTATTCTATATATATCGTCACAAACAGAACTGCCCGGTAAACCGTAGGCACAGAGAGAGAAGAGGACAACAAACGAGGGGCTGTGACAAACTGTTTCGTCGGAGTTTGACGATATATATATATATATATGGATGTTTTGCTGGCTTGCGATGGGGTGTGAACCGACAGTCTGTAGAGTTTTCCATCTGGTGTGGGTGAGTGATAGTCTACTTTGATTTTGGT